TATCTGTTAATTGGCTTCATCACTCTGTCTCCTCTCCACCAATAAGCTGGTGTGTGGTGGGCGTTCTGGCACACTATGGCTGCCGTCGCATCATCCAGTTGGATGCTGCACACTGGAGGTGGATGAGGAGATCCCCCCCTCACAATGTAAAGCGCTTTAAGTGCCTAGAAAAGCGCTATATAAATGCAACTAATTATTATTATTAATTATTAATTATTATTATTTATTACAAAAAAAAAACAGTAAAAATGTCAAAAATTAAGTAAAACTCTTGGCTCAACCAGTGTCCAGATGCATAATGGTGTAGTTTAGTAGTTTATCAATCACATAATTAGCCAATGTGGTATATCTTATTATTCATTTTTATGGCATTTTTGATATCTTTGATCACTTTTGGTGAATTCTAATATGGCATGTTTGTAATTTATGGATGCCGACCTTTTCTGTCTAAAAACCTCACGGATGGCAAATGGTGCAGCACTTATTGGCGATATTCTGGACCTTGAGTGAAAGGGGTTCAGATATAAAGCTGAAACAGAAGATGCATTTGATCTGAAATGACTTTTTTGCCTATACAAATGCTGCAAAGAATCTTGTTTTTGGTGTAAAAACCATTTGTAACAAATGGTCTAAAAAAATAGCTTTTAAAACCTTGATTCACTTTTTTTTTTTTTTTTAAATAAGAAAGTGTTAGGAATGTTATGAATTATTATATTAATATTGTTAGTAATATTATCTAACAGTTTTAATAGTAATTCTAAGAATATTTGCCAGTAATGATAAGGGAGGCCGCAGAATGACTTAAACATTTTTTAATTATTGTTATTATTAATGTAGTAATAATAATAATAGTTGTTGTTGTTATTATTAAATGTAATCGAGCAATTAAAATGCTAAAAACAAAATCAAGATGAATTAGTTTTTCTTGGTTTTCCTCTGAATAACAATTGCTTTTATTGAAGAACATCGTTTTGAAACTTCTGGAATCACAAAAAAGTTGTAGAGTGTTATATATTATGTTTATTTTGTTAATAACAGCATTGTTTTTACATTTGACGTTTCTACTAATAATCATAATAATATTTGACAATATATAATTGTCTTGCCAAACTACCAAGAAGGCCGCATAATGACACGTGATAATAGTAATACAGCAAATTAAAAAATATATAAAAATATATTTATTAATCGCATAATGAATCATGGTTAATTTAGTATATATCAGCATTTCAGTTTCTGTTAATAAAAACGTTTGAAAACATGCAGCTTTGTCATAATTACAGCAGAAATGCTTGAGGAAATGTTGTGCTGGAGAATGGGGGACCTTTGAGTCAAAATGTTCAGAATTGCTGATTTATACTGCTTGATTCTCAGTTTAAGTTGCTGATGGAGCACTTGGACCCTGACGAAGAGGACGAGGAGGGAGAGACGAGTGCAAACGTGAGGAATAAAGCCATCACCGCACTGCTGGGGGGAGCAGCCACAAGCCCCCGAAACCACCACACTGTTGACTCCGAGTATGAGGACAGTGACGGAGAGGAGAGGACCCCAGGGGTGAGAGAACGCAAAACAATACAACACAGCCAGACCTCTGACTGTAAACCTAGAGGGGTGTGCCATATGTGTAGTCTAGTGTAATATCAGAAATGATATTAGCTGACTTTGCCGACGTATGTCACTATGTCACTCACTTCTCAAAAAACAAGCAAACAAAACACACCTTGAAGAGTGCATGCTCTCAATGCATCAAGTTGCATGCTGAACAACGGCTCTGTGTGGTTAATGCTGCTCAATGTGAAAGCCCGCAGGTGATGGAGATTTACCGCTGATTACAGAACTGGCTTTCTGACAAGATGCGCGTTAAATATCACATGCGATTTATCTTGCAGCCCTAATTTTATTAGAAGTAGACCAACAGCAGAGGTCAACCGATTAATCGGCCAATTTTTGGCATTTTTTAAATTAATCGGCATCGGCCGATTGTGCTGCAAATTAGGCCGATTTATAGGCAGGCACATCTGCGGGCAGCTAAGCATTGTTGCGGAACACCGGAGAATCTCTCTCTGGCTGCGTGAGAGACTGAGCAACTCTCACTCTGCAGCCGCTTCTTGTTCACGCCCAGCTTCAGCTAATGATGACAGGGTAAAACAGACCGTTTCGAAAGCGTAATTACGTTTGACCCTACTAGAATAGATGCTGGAAAGTTATCATATTCATAATTGCAATAAGTCATTTGCATGTGAAAGTAGAGACACATGCAATTCAGACGAAACTTCTGGGCTGATTATAACGTGCACGTTAACTTTCCTCATGAAATGTGTGTGTGTGTCCGACAATAGCATCCATGATGTTATCCCTCATGGCCGGTGCACTCTTAAGCAGTTATGAGTTCAGCACTTGTTTCAATCATAAACAATAATTTTGTTCAATTTCTTCTTTTTTTTGTAAAATAAGTTACATCTGTTTGAAACTGTTTATTTTAAAACATGAACTGTTGCTAATACTGATGTATTGTGTTCCATTCGATTTGTTCTTTGCATGGTCTTAAAAAGTCTTAAATCTTTACCTTCAGTAAACCTGCAGAAACCCTGTATAATAAATAGATCTAATAAGGGTGTAATAAGGGCACATTCAAATAAATGACTCCAATTTCAAATGTTAGCACCAGAATTATTACTCTGAATTAGGCTACTACTACTATTACTGTCTTGTACCCTGCAATAATCATTTACTCAAACGCACTTTTATAAGATGAAGAGAAAAAAAAAAAAATCGGCCAAACATATCGGGCAAAAAAAAAATTGGCATCATATATCGGCTGCCCTGATTTCTAAATATCGGCATCGGCCAGTGGAAATCTCATATCGGTCGACCTCTATTTCGTAGTTCCAAACAAAGCTCTAGCCAAAGCAGCAGCAAAAAAAACAAAACACACTTGGCTAAATATATTACCGTTGTTCACAAAATCCAAGAAAATATCGAGAAAAATCTCATTTTTTGTCAATGTCACATATGTTTAACAACCCAGTCCAATCCTCTTTACAGCTTATTATTTGTGTAAAAAAAAAAAAAAAGTTAACATCAAATTTTTTTTATTTTTTTTTTATAACATTGTATGTTTTGGTTTAATGTTTCTAGTTTTTAATCATACAGTTTGCTGTTATTATAGCAGGCTTTCTGCAGGTCTTAAAATACCTTAAAAGTCTTAATTTGCCTAAAGATTTCATTCATTTAATATAATTTGTTTTCTGAGAAATTAAACAAAATGAAGTGAGTTTATGCTTGAAACAAGAAAAAACATCAGTCAGTGGAGTATGAAAGCTTGCTTTTAGTTAAATGTTTTTTGAGACCTTGGGCAGACATCAGCACTTGTTTCAATCATAAACAATAATTTTGTTCAATTTCTTCTTTTTTTTGTAAAATAAGTTACATCTGTTTGAAACTGTTTATTTTAAAACATGAACTGTTGCTAATACTGATGTATTGTGTTCCATTCGATTTGTTCTTTGCATGGTCTTAAAAAGTCTTATCTTTACCTTCAGTAAACCTGCAGAAACCCTGTATAATAAATAGATCTAATAAGGGTGTAATAAGGGCACATTCAAATAAATGACTCCAATTTCAAATGTTAGCACCAGTATGCAACTTAGAGACTGTCTGACCAGTTTCCGTGTCTCTCCTCGCAGGCGTCTCGACGCGGGAGGCGCGCGGCAGACTCGGCGGACCTGCTGTTGACGAACATGAACGAGTCCGTCAGCGTGCTGGACATCATCGCCATCCACTGTCCCAAATACCGAGACCGGCCGCAGATCGCACGTGTGATCCAGAGGAACAGCGACAGTTACAGCATCCACTGGATGGCGGGCTCATACTCCAGCTCCTGGACCGAGGCCAAGCGGCGCGATGGACGCAAGCTGGTGCCTTGGCTGGACACCATCAGAGAGACTGACATCATCTACAAAAAAATCACACTCACCAGTGGCAACAAGCTCAACCACAAAGTAGCGCAGACTCTACGGTCACTCTACGCTGCCAAGGACAGGAACTCCAGCTAATAATACGTAAACGCACGCACATACCTCCCATCTCGGATCCTCTCAGCCTAATGCAACACACACACACACACACACACACTCACTCACTGTCTCTCCGTATACCAACATGCCTATCGGCCAAACATCCCCTGGGTCAGCCAAACACAAGCGGTTATTCTACACTACAAGCTCTTTCACTCTCTGATGCACTCTGGGTCTGGCGGTGACGTTTGGCCCTCTGCGCCAGAGTGCATCGTCATATCACAGGAATAAAATGTTTGGAGAAACATTGTATGGGTGCTCCTTCGCTGTTGTGCAGCAGATTTCTGGTTGTTTGATTTCTACTCCCAGTGTATCATAGTTTAACATAAAAATATTGTTTATATCTATAAAAGAAACTTAAATATATACTGAATGTTGAAAGAACACATAGTTTGTTGATGTTTTTACTTTATTTTTTTCTATTTTCCTTTCGGATTTCTTAGCGTCAAGCGGCTTTCTATAGCTTAGCTCCTTCTTAACTGGCTGATGATGATGATTCTCTCTGTTGAGCGGTTTGTCCATTTTGTACGATAGCACCGTGTGGCTGTAATTTATTGTGTATAGCATGCAGTGTCTGTGAGGAGGGCTGTGTCGAAGGAGATTTGCGATTACAGGTTGCCCTGCTCAGCGTAAAGGGACCCACATGCCTCTGATGGAACAAATACTGCAATAAATTTTCTACTTCTCTTACTTGCTAGAGTGTCGTTTTGTTTATTGCGTTATTTGCCGTGCACGCTTCCTTTATTGACCGGTATAGTGAAGAGAGGACAAAAAATTACGCTGAGAAATGCGTCCAGGGTAAAGGTGCCCCAAGTCATTTTTTCTAGTATAAGAAATTAATATAAACTCGCACTTTATTTTAATGTGTCCTTGTTACAGAAATATTAGGTTTACACTGAGAAAAAAATTAAATATATTTTATATTGTTGAATTTAGAGTAGCATACTATTTCTATCATATCTTTGCATGGTGGAAATAGTAAGAATACTACAAAAGTATGCTTTTCAGCCTTTGTGTTTATTTCCAACTGTACCAGACTCTAGATTCGAATTAAACACGCATTTAATATAGTGTCATGTGACAGTACTGTAGCATACTAGTTTAAAAAGTTTGTTGTATACCTAGTGTGTCACTCACTTTGAGTAAACAATTAAAGAGTGCTAGGCACTATAAGGTGTATATACTGCATAGTATTTAGTTACTTAATATTGTCAGTATGTAGTTCATATTCTATAAACAGTATGCATATTGTCTGTATGGTCAAAATACTGCAAAGTGTTCAGTGTATAAGCACACTGTGCTACGTACTGTATCCCACAATGCAATGTGCTCACCCTGCCATTTAGCTGTGTAATGAACTGGAAGTATTAGCAATATCTCTTTATTAACTTATTTGTACTTCCAAAAGTTAAAACATGTTACCTTAAGTTTTTTTCTGAGATGACAGCTGGATGTCAATCACTCCTTTAAACACGCATCATGGTGCTATCATGCAAGTATCTATTCAGATTTAAGACTTTTATAAAAAAAAAAATTTAACTAAAACATGAGTTTGCACTGAGTTTTGTACATGTTTTTTTGTGAGGAAAGAGGCTCCTCTGTTTCCACTGGAACCGGAAGTACCAGAAACGTGAGTTTTCCATGTGAATTGTCTTTTTCTTTGGATTGATGAATTCACATGACGTTCTGCTGTTTAATGGGTTCATTTGCACCATTTATAGACGCTGTTCTTGCCAAAAGCAATTTCTAACCTATGAAATATTTTGGCGCAGAGCATAAGTTGAGAATTTCCATGAATTTTCTAGGATTGTGTTAATGTCCACAAGTTTTTCTGTTTACTGTTAACAGTGAACTGATAAAATGCCTCAAACACAGCAATTCAATCATGTTCAAAATGCATAAATGCTACTTTTTAGGAGTCATTGGAAAAAAATCTTTCAACATGAGATGTACTGCTCTGTTCACGAGCTGTTAAATGTTAATCTTGCTTCTAAAATTGAAAAACTATGTATACATATACACTGAACAAAATTATAAACGCAACACTTTTGTTTTTGCCCCCATTTTTCATGAGCTGAACTCGACGATCTAAGACTTTTTATGTACACAAAAGGCCCATTTCTCTCAAATATTATTCACAAATCTGTGGAATATTTGAGAGAAATTGGCCTTTTGTGTACATAGAAAAAGTCTCAGATCTTTGAGTTCAGCTCATGAAAAATGGGGGCAAAAACAAAAGTGTTGCGTTTATAATTTTGTTCAGTGTATATAAAGGGCATACATATAAATGGTATATGTTCATGTTTAAATAACGTGACCCTCAGTGAAGATTCATTGGTCCAAAGTTGATGTATAAGAATATATCTGGTACATTAAGTTCTTTCTGTGTAGAACATCACGTTACTTTACCTGTCAGCTGGTGCACAGGTGCTGGAAACCGGACAACAGGTGCTTGCTCAATGGAAATGTTTTTCCTGTACGTCATTCTGGGAGAACAATGTATGTTATGACTGGCTGAAGCCTTCATCTCGCAACGTGATTTCAACCGATGAAAGACACAGAATATAGTCCACAGTTCTTCATGAGAAATGTAGATCAATGTAAGTTATTTGTGCAGTCAGAATGCATTAAAACATTAGATTCGCCTCACATCAATTACAAATAATCTAAAATCCTAAAATGTATTTAATCGATTGCTCTATCCTGTCAAACAAACTATTACAATTTCTAAAATGGTATCGTCTGATACGTTTCATACTTTCAGTTTTTATTTTTATACTTTAAGTTTTAGTCATTTTTACGTTTTTGTAATTTTTGAATGTCTATATAGGTTTTTATGAATTTGTATTTCAGTTTTGGTTATTTTAGTATAAAAACATCACAAGTAATCCACGCCACTCAAATCCATCATTAACACATTTTAGCTTTAAACAGTCGCTTTTGGCCAAAATACAAGTCCATAATAAGATTATTAATTAATGGATGGGTTGTGATGTTTTTATCAGCTGTTTGGATTCTCATTCTGACGGCACCCGTTCACTGCAGAGCATCCATTGGTGAGCAAGTGATGTTCTTTTGTTCCCATGAAGAAACAAACTCCTCTTGAATGAGTACATTTAACCAAATTAAATTTTTGGGTGAACTATTCCATTAAAATATAGTAAACCTATGCAGCAGCAGATTTCTCAGCAGACCCTCTACGTTTGTCTCTATATACATTAAACAGACACAAAGAGATTTATTATTACTGCTCATGATGGCACGTCTTCTGTTAACACACAATGCACTGTAATGAGGCGCTTCATCACTTGAGCTGAACGCTGTGGACGTTCTTTCAGATATTGACTTGAAATGCTGCTCTATAATTACAGATAAAGAAGAAGAGGCTGGAGCGTCGAGTCGAGCTACAAGCTGAACAGAAAGACCGGCTGTGAAGTAGGAAAAGGTAAGAGACCTTTTCACCCAGGCAGTGAAATGATGAAGTCTTGTGATGTTAAAAAATGTTAAAATTTTTACATCCAGAACCCAACATTTAGGCTCTATATTCAGACTTCTCTCCTTCTCTCTGTCTAGTACTCACATTACAGATTTACAACAGCTAATGACTAATTACTGATGTAACCGTTGACCTGGGTCTTTGTTCGTCATGTTGAGGTAACAGCATTAACAAGGTTGTTCCTTGTGGGTTCGGTGTATTAACTGGTGTCCTGTGTGGTGTGTGATGACAGGTGTGTGCGGCGGCCGAAACGTGAACTCTGAATTAGAGATCAGATCTCCACCACACTCCATATCTCCAGTTTCATTCTCTTTTCTTTTCCATTTATACATCTCTTTTCCACAAACCCAAGCTCTTTATTGTGTTTCCAACCATTACATACAAGTTATAAACTCACTGCACATGTTACAGTCTCTTTAACAGATTTTTAAGCCATAACTGTGATGTTTGATGACATACATGTCAATTAAATGGTGTGATGTTGTTTTGACAAAGTCAGCATGAAATGGCATTCTCTCATTTTACTTCCATAATGTGGTATCATTTCCAGGTTTCAGCTAGATGTGGGTTTTTCCGGAAGATTTTTGATCAGGATCTGGAGGCTGAAAATCAAGTAATAAATGGTAATGCTTGTATTTCACTGCTGTTATTTGGTATTATTTCTTTAAGTTATTACATTAACTGCCTTTCAATTATTTAAACTGCTGCCAAGATTTTAGTAAGACTATTAGCTATTTAGCTATGAGTTGTTTTTCTGATGTTCTGATGAAATGTTCATGGGAAGACTACACTCTAAAAAATGCTGGGTTAAATACAACCCAGTGCTGGGTAAAATAGGGACAAACCCAGCAATCGGGCTGTTTTGACCCAGCGGTTGGGTTACTACCCAGAAGGTTCCGCTGGGTCAAAACAGCCCGATTTTTTTAGAGTGTAGGATAACAGGGTCAGTTTTGATTTCATGTAGACTTAAACACTGATTACAAATATACAAATACCAAAGCATCTGTTTAGGTTAACAAAATAGAATGATATAAATTATATAAAAATAACATTCACTAAATTTGGGTTCGCTAACATTTTCCTTGCTGTACAAAACTGACAAATACAATGCTGAGAGGTAAACGTTAACTGGATAACCAGCTTTGTCAATAATACAGTACATTTTAGAGCACCACAGCAGTAAAACAAATCAGTTCAATTAGTGACTCATAAATACCTAAAGTTTGGCATTTTGGGGAAGTTACCATTTGCTCATTGCCATTCAAAATCCATGTGACAGTTTCTTCTGTAGAGTCAATAAGATGAATTAGATAAGATATAGATCAATTAATATTATAAAAGCAACCCAGGCTCATTAGAAATGCATGAAACCTGCAGTTTCCAGGTGAAATGAACACTAGAGGCTGTAAAAATGGCAACAACTTTTGCTCCTTTTCTCACAAATTATGATTATAGGAGAAGATTATCGATAAATAGAGGCTTCATTTTTCAAGTGGTTCCTTCCGCAATACTGTCATGCCCTCAAAACACTTTTACATACATTTTAACATCTCGCATGTTCTTCTCAATTCTGATAAAGTAAACTTGCTCGGTAGCTCACCCGGTACAGCATTGCGAAAACCATATCGGCAATGGAGAAAAATGATACAGCTTATAGCGCCTCCTGTGGACGTGTCATCTGACAAAGTCAGCTAAATGTACCCAGAGCTACTTATTTCGGGTTTTGCAGAAATGTAGGCAGACGTATTTCCAGTGAGCCTGAGTTGCAACAAGGCCAGGTATGAGTAGCAATATTTTCTTTTCTGGTTAATGAGATTTGAAGTTGCGAGAAAACTTAAGTAGCAACAGATCTTTTCTTCTTTAATCTGATGTACATCAGAATGGAACAAATTATCGAAAAAGAAAAAAGTAGGGCGGGGACTTGATTCTGTCTTTTGGTTGCTGATTGGATGTTGGGATATGGGCGTGGCATTCAAAAGTGGAGACAGATGAAAGGAGCTTGAAGGGGCGGGGTTTAAGCGGACTAAATGATTGGAGGATTCCTGCATACACCAGGAATGATACTGGAAGATTCAGTTAAGACGTTTTGATTAAATGTTAGGTCAAAAATAATACAAAAAATGCACAAATTAATTAATGAGATCTATAATATGCATTTAGAAAATAGGGTGAATTA